GGGCTAGCGGCGGCGCGAGCCGGGCGCATGGGTGGAGACTAAGGGCGCGGTGGCCCCGCAGCCCGGGCGTCCGCCAGCTGGTGGGAGCCTCGCACCGAATCTTTGAGTGTGACCCGCGAGGCTGGTCCCTGGACAGCTGACAGGAAACAGGGCGCAGGGCTCCCTGGGACCTGCCCGAGTCAGCTCATTGGTGAACGTGGCAGGGGTGGAGAAGGGTCCTCTCGGAAGCGAATGGGTCATGGGGAAGGAGTGACGAGGAGCCAAGAGACTGAGTTACAGAATCGATGGGTTCCTGGGTTCAAAGCTATCATAGTTTCGAAAAGACTAAATTCAACTCTTTCGTTTTGTTGAAAAAAATTGTATGCGTGTTATGCATGCGTATAATTACACACACAGTTACCCGTGGTTGGAGAGTCGGTGGTGTCTTAGATTGCTTGTGTGCTTTTAGAGCCGCTGGTTCCATGGGGACTCCAGAAGAGCAGCCAGTGTCTGTGTGCAGAGTGCTAGGGAAGGAGGAGGGGAGGGGAGCAAAGGACGAGTTGGCGTGTTTCAGAGCGATGGCCGCTCGAGCTGAACTTGAGGGATAACTGCGTATCAGCCCAGTGGGCGATATGTTGAGGGAGCCATCAAAGATCATTTCAGGGGAAAGAAACCACACAGACAAAGGTGAAGGGGTGTGAAAGAATGTGACCTATTTGGAGGAGAGTTCACCAAGAGTGACAGTGGAGCTGGCAGGAGAAGGTTGTGGAGGGCCTTGGTGAAGGGGAGAAGCACTTGAAGAGTCTTGGACTTCGAGACCTTTGCATCTTTTTAAGCAAGGAAGCAGCTCATCTTACCCCCGTTCTTCCCACCCTCCCGCCTACTCCTGCTTCCTCATCAGCTGTTTCCAGGTCTTGGTAAATGGCAAATATGAAAGCCAGGTGTTTCTTTCTCGCCCCACTCCAACCCATCCAATTAACAAGCTCCAATGCCTCTACTTCCTTAGTGCCTCCAAATCTTTCTTACCTTTCCCACTGCCAGTCCCTTGAGCCAGTCCATTGTCCTCAAGGCGCCAAAGTCACCTTATTTGCTGATCTGCTTTGCCACAATCCTGTCCAGGATAGAGTCCCAAGTTTCACCCTGGCTGCCCTTCATTAGCTAAGGTTCTCCCATCCTGGGCTCGGCTGCACCTGACCATCCCCCAGCAGAACTTGCTATCCCTTAGTCTTGACCACAGAGTGCCCTGTGCCTGGTAACGACTGATTTATTAAATGTCTACCTGTGTGTCCTGCATGTGCTTTTGTGCCTTTTCTAATTTAGTCCTGACAGCAACTCTGAGGTGTAGGTGCTATTCTGGCTCCTTTTACTGATGAGGAGACTGGGGTCTGTCTGGAAAAGGCAGTAACATAACAAAGCTGTGTCTTTAGGACCAGATACAAACTCAGGAAGGGCCACTGGCATTCCAGAAATTTTTGGAGTCAAAGATCAGATTTGGATTTTAGAATCGGATCAGATTCTCTGGCAGTGGAGAATAGATTAAGCAGAGCCAGACAAGCCACAGAGACTAGTCAGGAGGCAGGCAGGAGCCCCGGCAGTGGCCAGGGCAGGAAGGAAGGGAGGGAGCTGAGCGTTTTAGAGGTGAATTTCATCAAGACTTACCCAGCAGTCCTTCTTGGGTGCTGCTCTGTTAGGCCCAGTAAGAGACAGAGATGAAACAGAGCTTCTTCTCTTCAAAAAGCACAACCCTTTCGAGATAAGCTGTAGTCAGAGAAAAGAGAACACTCAGTGTGGTTGACTATTCCAAGTAATCTGTTAGTGCTTCAGGTCTTCCAGACAGGCTTCCAAAAGAGGTTGTAAAAAGAAAAAAAGTTAGGAAAAAGGAAAATTATTTGACAGTCTTGCCAAAGAATTTTCACCAGTCTGCCACATTTAAGCATTGCCTCATTTATTAATTCAAGAGGTGTTTACTTCCCAGACTTTCAGAACTTCGTGCTGGTCTCCACGCACCCCGACATTTAGCATCAGTGACCTTTCTTGGGGTCTTTAGCATTCCTGGCTGTCTTCTCCTTTCTCATTAGAGCTCCCCACTGCCCACAGTCTGATTTGAGTTAGTCTTGATTTCTTTCAGAACGTGGGCCTGTGAACTGGGCTGGTTTTCTTGGCCAAATGGATAGTGGAGCATGGATGAAGGTATGTGGTGGGAGGGTCACAGTGGTCCCCTGTGCGTGGGTGTCCAGGCCAGCGTGAGCCGAGCAGGAGGTGCTTCTCTGCTGTTACTGTTAGTGCCTTTCATCACAAACCACCAGGGCTTTCAGAACACCTGGTGTCTCTTCACCAGTTCCTTGAGGGCAGGAATAGTATGTCGCTCACCTTCATACCCCTGCGGCTCCCTGCTCTGCCCCCCCAGCCCCCAAGTTCTCCCCTCCACCGGATACCTCAGATGGTGCCCGGGACACAAATGGAAGACACTCAAATGTTTGTTGAACTGAATTCAACAAACGTTTTTGAATTTGACTTACAACTGGATGTCAATATGTTATATGTTCCTTGAAGAGTCCCCTGAGGCAGACGTGAGTGCTCATGGGTGCGTGTGGGTTCAGTTGACAGGAGGGTGGAGTCCGAAGAGTCGGGCGATGACGAAGGGAAGAAGCAGAGCAGCGGGATCGCGGCGGACCTGAGCGAGCACAGCCTGAAGGATGGAGAGGAGCGGGGGGAAGAGGACCCGGAAGGTACCAGGCCGAGTTAAGCACCTTAACCTCACTAAGGGGGCTGCAGGCTCTGCTGTGTGGGATGTGCCCCCCGGGGGTTGGGGGCAGGGAGGCCTCATGGCCGGGAGCAGTGGGCCCTCTGATGGGCTCCCTTAGGCTCCAACCTTCGGCACTTGTAGGCAGGGTGAAGTTTTTCCTGATTCCCCTGAAGGAAAATACAGTTACCAATAATGTTGATACTAGTGTATCATCTGGGACAGAACCAAAAAGTTGTTTTATTAACCGTGTGTTGGAAAAGCAAGATTCTACATCACATTTGGGCTGGCGGTGCTCTTTCCCGCCGTGGTCGTGTAAACTCGCTTTACTGCCTAGAGAGGCCACTTCTGAGCTCTGCTCCGCTGTGCTTACAGGCCTGAGGGTCAACTCCTAAATTGTTTCAGCAATTAACAATAACAGAGTGGATTTAGAGATGTGAAAACTAAGTTCTCAGCCCATAATGGTGGTTTTTCACC